ATTTAATAAACATTATTCAATAAAATATTTTTTCGCGACATATTTGTTAAATTTTTTTATTAGAGCGACGGTCTAAAGGACCAGTCTAAATTAAAAGACCAATGATCTTATGAGACCATTGGTCTCGGTCTCGATCCGATCTTTTTTCAAAGATTGCTAAAGATCGGACTGGATCAGACTGGATCAGACCGTTCCCATCCCTATTCATCACTATCAAAAATTTATGGATCACTTAGCTCAGACATTCTGTGCTTTTAAAAAAGCATTAGATGCATTGGATGATTATTACACAGACCCACCTAAAATTTTCCCTTCACAACTAGAGTTTCTATACATCAACTCATTCACCCCTATTCCAAATGAAACAAGTATTCAGTTTTCCTACCTCAAACAACTGCATGAAGACAAATTATTGTTTCTTGTTGAGCAGAAAAGCAACAACAATGTACCAAAACAATTACTTGTAAAGTTTGTAGAATAATATGAGATAGATGCACACAAAGCCTGTGTAGATTTAGGTATTGCTCCTTGCTTTTTTGGTCATCAGAATGTTCCAGGAAGATGGCATATGATTGTAATGGAGAATTTAGATAATTATGAACATTTGTCTCTACATGTATCTACAGAAGTCAAGGGGGCTTTTAAAGAGGCTGTTAGAAAGATGCATGGTGCAGGATTTTTACATGATAATTTGAGAGATCTAAACATTCTCTATCAAATAAAAAAGAAAGATAATAATGAAGGTGTTGAAGTAGACATTAAAATTGTTGATTATGATTAGGCTGGTAGGATTGATTATACAACAACAAGATATTCCTCATATCTTAATCCCAAAATTAAAAGGCATCATGATGCTCACTCTGGATATCAGATTAAGCAGGAGCATGATGACTATATGGTAGATCTCTTAACACAGTAATATAAATTCATTACTTGGTGCATTAACCAAATACCAAATGATAAGATATTAATATTGCAAGTTAACAATTGAAAAGTATGATATTTTATGATAACTGTACAAACTCAATGGGAGGAATGGTTGAATAACTATGAATGCAAAATATATTTTTAATAGTTGCAATCTTTCATTATTAATTTCAATATGGTTAGCCATTCATAAATTAATAGAGTTAGTTCTATTGTGATGATAATGTTTTTTATTAAACAGCTTTTTTTTAAGTTTCAAAAAAATTAATATTTATGAAAAAGATAAAATTAGGATTTATTTGTCACTTTGATTATTTACAAAAATTAAAAAGCAATAATAAAAAAAAAAAATTAAGTTCTTTTAATTTGGTTCTACAAAATTAATGCAAATCCTTTTAAAAATCTATATTCCTTGTTTGTGTGATTAATTTTCAATTTCCTGTAAAAAACTACAAAGTGAACATAAAATTATAAAATTATATATATAGGGATAAGTATATATGAAAAGTATTAACAAGGGTAATAAATATGATGGTTCTAATGAATATGAAAAAGCAATTGATTTTTTAGAAAAAGGCTGTAGTTGTGGTTGCTCTTCCAGAATTCCTAAGGAACAATTTGCAGAATTAAGGGAATCTTTTCAAGCTCTCACTAAACCAGAACAAGACATATTTTTGATGGCACAGATTAAAGCAATGAATGGAGGGACAGTAAACACCAGTAGACGCCTTAAAAAGAAAAATAGATCTAATAAAAGAACTTTCTATTATTGAGATCATAATACACTACTTTGTCAAGAAACTTATCTTAATATGCTAGGCATTGGCAGGACTTACTTTGAAAATATCAGAAATCATCTGATAAACAATGGCCTTCTACCAAGAGTTCATGGTAACATTAAAAGGACGCCTTAATGGAAAACTAAAATGGTGATTGATAAAAATGTTGCTGAAGTAGTAAAGAATTTTCTAGAAAATTATGCAGAAGTT